ATCCAGCACACCAGGTGTGTAATAATCTTTCAAGAATTTTCTAGTATGCTGATTTCATTGTCCGAATTGTTGTAATTTGTGATTGTCTTGAAATATTCTCGTTTCTCCATTTGAGTAGGTAATTTTGCCGGATGTGGCAGTCTTGGTTGACAGTTATATAGTTTCAATTCTTTAATATTAAACCATTCGATGCTTTTCTGGATTTTAGGATTGCAGACAACATATTTGGTATTATTCTAATGTTGTACATCTGTGTGTGGGTTGGTGTTTTTTCCTTACAAGTTTCAGTATTATTTTATTTTTTGCATTGTGTTTTTTGACATTTTGTCTATAATGTGTCATGGACAGGTTCTTCTCTGGTCATGTCTCTTTGGGGTTGTAAATGCTCCCTGTTTTGGGATGTCTATTTCTGTCTGTAGGAGTGGGGAATTCTCTGCTATAATTTCTCTGAATAGATTGTTTAAGCCATTTGACTTTATCTCAGCTCCTTCTATTCCATAGAATCTTAAGTGTTGTCTCTTGAATATATCCCAGACTACTTTGAAGTTTTGGTCATGCTCATTAATTTTTTTTCTTTCTCTGTGTGTGTGTGTGTGTGTGTGTGTGTGTATTTTATTGTCTTAATCTTGTACTTCATTCCTGAAGACTATTGACAATGCTTTTTGCTGTTTTTTATTCAACTGATTGTCATTTCTAGAATATTTGTTTTTTTTTCCAGTATCTCAATTTCCTTGATGGTTTTTTTTCTTCCATGTTTTAAATTTTTTCTACCAAGTTACTGATTCTTTTATCTACTTTAGTAACTTTGTTGCCTATGTTGTGAATTGATTTCATAACTTTGTTATCTGGGTCTTGAATTTAAAAGTTCTTATGTGGCGTACCTTTAATCCCAGCACTCAGGAGGCAGAGGCAGGCAGATCTCTGTGAGTTCAAGGCCACCCTGGTCTACATAGTGAGTTCCAGGACAGCTGGGACTACAGGGAGACCCTGTCTCAAAAAGACAAAAAAAAAAAAGAAAAAAAAGTTCTTATGTGGGATTGGAGAGATGGCTTAGTGGTAAAGAGCACTGACTGTTCTTGCAAAAAACCCAGGTTTGAATCCCAGCCCCACATGGCAGCTAACAACTGTCTGTAACTCCAGTTCCAGGGGATCCAACACCCTCTTCTGAGCACTGTCTGACACATATATATGCAGGCATAACACTCCTGTACATAAAAAGATAAAAAATAAAGATTAAAAAATTTAAAAGTCCTTATCTGGTCATTTGCATTTTCTTTGGTCATTGATCCTTTTTAAATTTTTAAAAAATTTTAGTTTATTTGTATTTTATGTGTAGGAGTGTTTTGCCTACATGTATGTAAGTGAACCACATGTGCGCAGTGCCTGCAGAGTCCAGAAGAAGGTGTCAGATCCCTTCAACTGACATTAGAGATGATTGTTAGCTGCCACTTGGGTGCTGGAATTGAACTTGGGTTCTCTGCAAGAGCAACAAATGTTCTTAACTGCTGAGCCATCTCTCCTGCCCTCTCATTGATATTTTTCAAAAGTAGAACTCCAACCTTTTTCTTGAATTTCAGGTACATCATCATCTTTGCTTTCTGGTGTTGAGACGCTGTCAATTTGTGTCGTGTCATAGTGGGATATTTTCTCATTTTGAGTGTGTTTGTTGTTTGTGCAACTGTTGGGGGTGTGTATGCCCTTCAGTTTGTAGGTTTTCCTCTTTTCCCTTTATTTTTATTTTATTTTATGTGAGTCTGTTGACTTCTCATGGATTTATGTTCAGGGGGAAAGTTGACTGCAGTAACAACTATCATGGTTTGCAGGAAGTGCTAGTGTTAGCTTCAGGAGAAGGAAGCTGCTTTTCCTGTGTCCCCTATAATGTTAAAGATGGGTGATAGGGCCTTGTTGGGGAAAATGTAGTTTATTTATTAGTGTTAGAGGAATCGGTATTTTAGTAGTGAAGTAAAGAGAATGAGAAGGAAAGTATATGAGCTAGAGGAATGAAAGGCAGTAGAGAAAATATTGTTTATCAAGTGTGACTGAACAAGGACAGGCATCTATCTGGGGCTGTAGCTCAGTGGTAGAGTTCAATCCGCAGACCAAAAACAACAACAAAAAAGGACTTTTACAACAAGATATAAGTTACAATGTATCAATTAAACACTTAAAGTACAAATGTATGTACAAAGAAAAAAATTAGAAAATGTTAATGTTTTTAAAAAGATAAATACTATATATATAAGTAGAAATTAAAGATTAAAATATATAACAAAAATGAAACAGAAGATACTGTGTTCTCAGTTACTGCTTCTGTGTGGTTGGGGAGCATCTTTTCCCTGTATTTACCTTAGTTCTGTGTACCAGAATACCACACCAAGCTCCCTCACAAACTTCCTGTGATGGGTATAACTCCTCCCTGCACTGGTAGGATGGGGAGTGGAGTGTTGAGACTCTCTGCTTCTGACTCCCTGAACAGCACTTGAGCTACAGTCTTCAAAGTCAGTGACTTGGGGTCTGCATTCCACACCACATTACATATTCTGCCACCTTCTTCTGGGGATGATCTCTTGCTCCATGGGCAAGATTGGGGTCAATAAAATGATCAGTGGTGTAGCTTGCCTGACTTGAGGGTCTCTTAACACTTTCTCTGGAACTGTGTCTCTAGATTGGTGAACCACTTTCCTTGCTGATAAGGAAAGGTTGAATTCTGAGCTCTTCCTGCATGCATTCTAGTCCTGTGGTCCCTGGTCCCTCACTCAGGTGTCTTGCTTCCTGCAGGCAACAGCAAGGGAAGGGAGGGGAAAACATTGGAAATATCTCAATTTCAGACTCCATACCCCTCTTCTAGCACTCGCCTGAGGTTTGCTGCAGTGTAATTTCTTCTTTGGCTGTTGAATTTAGCCTCTAAATTTGGTTTCTAACAGCACAAACTCTCTGTAAGGCTTCCCCTGCACCAGGTGTCCCTCACAGTGCTGTCCTGACAGAACTAGCTCAGCATACAGCACTTGGTATGGCAGAGTGCCCTAGCAGGCTTTGTGGAAAAAAAATCCCACCTAGTTTTGTCTGTTTTCTAGAGCTCTCACTCTTTTATCTCTCTTGATGACATTTATCTTGACTCTTACTCAAACTCCTGGTCTCATTTACCATCTTCTCAGACTCTTCTGGTAAAGAGGCCTACCATGCAGGAAGCTCTGAATTTCACTGCCAGCACCACTTACACTGGGCTTGGTGTTATGCACCTGTAATCCCAGCATCGAGGAGACCAGCACTGAGGAGATCAGAAGTTCAGTGTCATCATCAACTACTTAGAGAGTCAGAGGTCAGCATGGGATACAGGAGACCCTGGATTTTTGTTTGTTTGTTTGTTTAAAAAACAAAAAAGAGGGGCCAGAGATGGCTTAGAAGTTAAGAGCACTGGCTGCTCTTGCAGAGGACCGGGTTTGGTTCCCAGCACCCATATGGCATTAACAACTGTCTGTAATTTCAGTTCCAGGGAATCTTGATGCCATCTTCTGTCCTCTGTGGGCACCAGGCTCCTGTACAGTATACTTACATACATATGGGGAAAACACAACTACACATAAAAATTAAATCAATACATAAGTAAATAAATAATTTTTAAAGAAAAGAATACTTTTTAAAATTCCTAATTTATTTTCCATGTGTTTAAGTACTATGTAGCCTTACTAGCTGCATTGAAAATCTATTAAATGGAAGCTACATATTTTTATGTTGTGGTGATCACATCTATAATTTTTCTTTGATTTATAATATCACATTAAGTACTAATTACCAGTAGAGTGACCATGTAACTTACTAGAATTTGGTAGTTTAGTGTGAATTTTATGATTTTGATATTTAACATGTTAATGTTCTGTTCTGATTAACAGATACCTTTAGACCATCTTTTAGATTCTTGATCATTAGAAAGCTATTTTGTGTGTGTGTGTGTCTGTGTGTGTGTGTCTTTGTGTGTCTTTTTTGAGACAGGGTCTCCTTGTAGCCCCAACTGTCCTGGAACTCACTATGTAGACCAGGCTGGTCTCGAACTCACAAAGATCTGCCTTCCTCTGCCTCCCAAGTGCTGGGATTAAAGGTGTGTGCCACCATGCCTGGCCAAGAAAGCTACTTGAGTTACTTTTAGTCCTCAAGAATGGATAATTGCTTGTATATCAGAATTAAGTGATTAAATATACTGATCACCTCTAGCTTGAAGAAGAATACGTACTCATTATTTGTACTTTAAATTCAACCTTGAATCTATGTAGCTGTCTTAGAGCTTCCTTTCCTCATTCTGTTCTCGGGAATTGCTTTCTAGAAGTGCCATATAATTTTTATGTTAGTGGTTTATTTCATCTACATACATTTGTTATGGTTTCATTTTTTAATTCTATAAATATATATATTCTTAGAATTTTACCATAGTGCAATCAAGTCACTATGTTACTGAAATATAAAATAGCTAATGTTTTTAAGATTTCTTATTTTATGCATATGTTTTGCCTGCATGTATGCAAGTGCACCATGTGCATGCAATGCCTGTGAAGGCCAAAAGAGGGCATCAGATCCACCCCTAAGAGCTAATTGTTTTAAAGGATATGTTACTATTGTGGTTTTGATCTCATTCAACACAGACAGTAATCTGAACATATGTTTCAATTATAGTATTTTGCAGTTTGCTTTTATGCCCTCAACTTCTTCCTCTGAAAAATATATGAAATCAAATAGCTAAATTATATATAAAATTCATATACTTAAAATTTAGTAACCCCTTGTTGTGGCTGGCATATACTAAGATATAAGATGTAGTCCCCAAACTGAGCAAATTAGTAAGAATATGGTTGTTTTAACATTCTAAGACTAGAAAAGTAAAACAGATATGAATCCTAGGGAATACTTATTATAATTTTAACATTCTTTCAGTTACTTTCTTTTTTACGTATTAAAATTTGCAGTTAATTCCTTCCAATGAAACCTCATTTTTCTTTTTTCATTTACAGATCATATTAATAAAAAGACTGAGGTAAGTTTTATTATATTTGTCTAGAAACATTGATAAGGAATAATACTTATCAGTAAGTCTTTTCTGCAAACATAGCCATTTAAGGTTTGTCTTGAATAAACCCATCAAGCTTCTGGTGTTATAAGGATATAAATATAGTAGGATAAAATGATTATTTACATACACTCCAGTTTCATTTGGCATTACTGTCCTAGTTTATGTGCATTACAAGCTTAAAGTTCAAAGGAAAAGTAAGTTAATCTGCAAGTCTGTATTTTAATTTTTTTTTTTGTGTGTGTGTGTGTGTGTGTTGATGCTTTGTGTTTATGGAGAGCGTGCATGTGTGTGCATGGGCATATGTGGAGGCCAAAGAACAACTGCAGGTATTGTTCCTCAAGGGCTGTCCACTTTTGATAGCTACATGGTGGAAGGAGAGACCTGACTGCTGCAAGTTCTGGGTGGAAATCAAAGGCAGTGGCAATAAACTGTGTTACTTTGGGAATCTCTTAAACTACCCTGACCAACAATTCAAAGGGGGTTTCTCCTGTCTGGCACTATTTCTTGTATCTAGCCTTCAGCTATACACATACACTCATATACAGATATTGTATACATAGTTTCCAGTAGACTTTTGAATTAATACAATTTCCTCTGGCTTTTCACATCACCTAAGCATTATTTCTCTCCTCTCTCTCCCTATCTAACCCTCCTTTCTCCCTTCCCAGTAAAAGTACCTACGTTTTCCCCATTTCCCCTTTGATAATAGCCTGTGTCTTATTATCCCCTCTCTCTTGACCTCCTTCTTTCCCTTTATCCCCATGGCTCCTTGTATCATCCTCACTTCCCCCTTCCCAGTTAAATACTCCCATTTTCCCCATTTCCTCCTTGGTAGCACCTCTCTCCTACTCTCCCACTCTCTTGGGCTCCTTCCCTTTACCCCTCATGGTTCCTTTCCACTTAGATTCATGTTTGTTGTTGTTCTGTTTTATTTTTGTTTGGGTTTTTTGTTTTGTTTTGTTTTGTTTTTTGGTGTTTTTGAAACAGGGTCTCCCTGTAGCCCCAGCTGGCCTGGAACTTGCTGTGTACACCAGGCTGGCCTCAATCTTACAGAGGTCCACCTGCCTCTGCCTCTGCCAGGATTAAAGGTGTGCACCACCACACCCAGCTCCATTTAGTTACATGGTTTTTTTTTTTTGGAAATAATAATAATAAATATCCTGCAACGTGTGTGTGGTGTATACTTATAAATCTTGCACTTGAGGGGCAGAGGCAAGAGGATTGTGGTTCAAGGCCAGCCTGAGCTACATAAGAGGACCCTATGACAAAAAGCCAAAAACAACACAGAAAGTCCATAAAAAGCGAACAAGGGCTGGGGAAATGGTTCATCATGTAAAGCCACTTGCCACCAAGCATGACTGCCTGACTTTGATCCTTGGAATGAATCCACGTGGTAGAAGGAGAGAACTGACTAATGTCATCTGTGATGGTTCATTTGAGGAACACCATTATTTGGATTTCTTCTTGGAATAAGTAAAAAAAAACACTTGTTGTTAAAAAAAAAGAAATAGCATGTATAAATAGACCTTTTCGAGGACTATATATTATAGTAGATTAAAAGTTTTAAAATTTTAATGCTAGAAAGTGTGTCCTTTAGGAGAATGCAGTGAGCCCTTAGAAATAAAAAAAATGGGTTGGAGACATGGCTCAGAGTGTTTGCTGCAGTGACAAAAACCAGAGTTCAGATACCAGCACCCACTGAACATCCTGGGCAGCCTGCACATATTTGTAATCCCAGTCCTAAAAGAGACAGGAGGATTGCTGGAGCTTGCTGGCTTCCACCCTAGGAGAGAAAAAATACACAAGCTCTAGGTGCAGAGAGAGAGACACTGCCTTGAGGAATATGCAGAGAGCAATAGAGGAGGACACTTGGTGTCCAGTTTATGGGCTCTGTACACATATACCCACACAGACGCATACAAACACAAATAAAGCTTTTTAAAAAGAAATAAGGATTATGGTGAAAGTGAAAGTTTACCCAAATTAATATGCTATAGTGCCTTTGCCATTTTAGTAAAATCCAAAAAGGTTTAGTTTTGAGAATTAACAAATTGTTAGTTTGGAAGAACAAAGTTCAGAAGAAGAACCATTAATAAGTTTGTATCTGTAATTCACTAAGAGTCCATGTATGTATGGTCTGGATCTGTTTCTGACTCTTTTGTCCTACTGATCAGCTTATTGAGTACCAGTTCTATATTGTATTACTTACTCCAGCTTCATTATATCATAAGTCTGGGAAAATTGCACAACAAAATAGTGTCTAGGTAGAGAAAGAACTCTAGTCATGAGGGGCTGGTAAGGTAGCTCTACAGGTGAAGGCACTTGCCGTGCAAGCCTGGAGAACTGAGTTCAATCCCCGGAAACCATGTAAAGGTGTAAGGGGAGAACTGACACTACAGAGTTGTCCTCTGACCTCCACACATGTACTGGGACACACCCCACACAAAATAATAATTAATTTTTAAAGATAGACACATCTGGCATTTCACTGAACAGGAAATATGACTAACAAAACCCTATGACAATTTGACAACTTAATTACCAGTCACAGAAATGTAAATTAAGATCATTTCATTAGTTTTCCCCCTTTCACTAGGCAGGCAAAACAATACAAACTTTGAAAATACTAAGATTCAGATAGTATAGATCAGTAAATATTGGTAATAATGTAAGTTACTAAAAAATTTTTGCATAAGTTTGTTTTTTTATATTTGAAATACTTAATATAACCCACAGGTCAGAAAACTTATCCTGAAAATGGCTAAGTACCAAATAGTTTAGGGATTGAGTTACATCCAGTCTCTGTCACAACTTCTCAGTTCTGTGTCTGGAATAAAATGAGCATGACTGTATTCCAATAAAACTTTATTTGCAGAAAAGGCAGCAGGCCCCTTTGGGGATGTAGATTGTTCATCCTGATATAAGATTTCGCAGACCTGTCATAGATATACATGCTCTAGAAAACTTCCACATGTGACCTGGGAGCCACGTACATGAATGTTGATATTTATGTGTATAATGGTCCTACTACCCTCATATTACCTAAGGAAAAAAACAGAAAATATCAAAATGTTGATCTTCAGTAGAAGGTCCAGATATTTTAGTATAATCACACAAAAGGTTATGAAGTTAGTGATGGTCCAAGAGAGAATGTTGAATGGAAAGTCTAAGATTTGAGTGATACCAATTTTATACAATTTAAAGATAAGCAAAAGTAAGTGTGTTTGCTAACAGTGTTTGACCTAAATATAAATCAGGCCTTAAGATTGAACTCTTCTATGCTGCAGGAGATACAGGGCTTACATATGTGAATTAAATGATACCTAAAGGAAGCAATCAGACAGCTGGAGATGTAGCCGAGTAGTAGAGCACTTGCACTACCATGGACAAGGCCCTAGGTTGATTCCCAACACTGCCCCCCCAAACCTACTTTTTAAATAATCTAGGCAAATCTAGGAGATAGATACTATATGGGATAACTGACCTGGTCTTTCCACCAAGAAAGTGTGATTGAGAAGAAAAAGTGGATGGTGAGAAGGGGTATTATGTGTTCTAGATTAAAAAGATTGAGAAATTACTAAATGTAACACGCAGTCCTTAATTAGATTATGTTGTGGTATTTCTATTGTAAAATACCTAAGCCAGAGAAGTATATGAATGAAAAATTTCACAATCAAAGGTAAAATAAACAGAACAAAGTTATATTGTTTAGTACTGTTTCTCCAAAACAAAAAAGATGGAAGTCCTAAACACTAAATTCAGGGTAATGGTTACATTGTTAGCATAGGGGATGAGTACAAAGGGTTGTACACAGACAGGGAATGCTGTGATTTTCAGGAGAAATGATGAGGCATCTTAAAAAGTGTTCAACATCATTAGAAATTAGGGAAATGCAAATTAAAGCCACTCTAAGGTTTCACCTTACACCAGTCAGACTGCCTAGGATCAGAGAACAAATGATACCTAATGCTGGTGAGGATGTGGAGAAAGGGGAACGCTCATTCACTACTAGTGGGACTGCAAACTCGTGCAACCCCTATTGAAAACAGTGTGGAGAACTCCTGAAAAACTAAAAATGAGCCTACCATATGACCTAGTTATACCACTCCTTGGCGTATACCCAGAAGATTCATCCTATTTTAGAGACACTTGTACAACCATGTTTGTTGCTGTTCTTTTCACAATAGCTAAGAAATGGAAACAACCTATGTGCCTCTCAACTGATGAGTGGTTAACAAAAATGTGGTCTGTTTACGCAATGCAGTTCTATTCAGCAGTAAAGAAAGATGTAATAATGAAATTTGCAGGTAAATGGATGGATCTAGAAACTGTTACACTAAGTGAAGTAACACAGACTCAGAAAAACAAAAGACATATGTTCTCCCTCATTTCTGGATCCTAGCACCAAATCCTCTTAAATTCCATGTTCTTTTAAAAAGATGATGCTGTACAGCAGTCTCTTCTGCGTGAAATAACTACCATCATCACAACTTCAGCTGTGCCTACTTGCTAAACATTGTCGCAGTTGGGTTTGTTGATGGTTGTGCTCATTCATTAAAGGAGGGCCAAGCAGAGTCATTGGACCCTCACCAGAGTATCCAGCCACTCTTCCAAGCCAACTGTATAAAATTTGACCCTAATCACACATGATCTGAATTTGGGAAGGGATAAAGTATACAATCTGGGGAAGGCTAGGAAGAGAAGGCTTGATCCATGCTGGGTAAAGGCTTTCCAGTATGCATACATACCCTCAGGTCACTCATAGAACTCAGCAACCCCTCAGTCACCTCTGTAGGTAAGCTCAGTAAATTCATTAGTTTCCCAAGAAAGCTTCAGTCAAACACTGGTTTGACACTAAAACCTTAAAAGGGAATAAGCATTGCTTAGTATCCCCAGGAAAAGAATTCTCACAACAGATGGAAAATTTATTTGTTAATGTTATTATGCCTCATAATTATTAAAAA